TCTTGAGCTGCCAAAATAAAGCTTTCTGTTTCTTTTTTCAGTACTCCTGATCTTAACCAGTTCCAAGTTAGTTTCTGGTCAGCTTTGCCTTCAATACTTTTCAAGTATTGGCCATGCAGAGCTTTGTGTTTCCAATTTTCAGCTCGCTGCTCAATTACTTCTTTCTTATATTCTGCTTTTGTTTTAGTTGTCTTTAAAAGGCCTCCTTTATTTACTTCCTTAATCATTGGTTCTTCACTTTTCTGGATGTAACCATTCAAGCTGCATTTTTCTTCTTCCACAGTCTGCTTTACTTGTAGGAGTCCTCGACCACCCTCTGCTCTTGGTTTATTATTATTATTATTATTATTATTATTATTATTATTATTATTATTATTATTTCAAATTTCTATACCACCCTTCTCCTTTCAGACTCAGGGCGGTGAACAGCCAAGTAAAACACTTTATATACAAAAGTTAAAATAGATTTAAAAGTAATTAAATAATTTGGCCCATAATTTAAAACATTTCAATTTAAAACCAATTTCAAATTTTAAAAACCCATCATAAAATCAGGACAGCCTGGCTAACTGAAAGAGGTAGGTTTTAAGGGCCCGACGAAAAGTCCGGAGGTCTGAGATCCTCGTATCTTGGGGGATAGATTGTTCCAGAGGGTAGGTGCTACCACAGAGAAGGCTCTCCCCCTGGGGGTCGCCAGCTGACATTGTCTGGCTGACGGCACCCTGAGGAGGCCCTCTCTGTGGGAGCGAACTGGCCGATGGGAGGCAATTGGTGGCAGAAGACGGTCCCGTAAGTACCCCGGCCCTAAGCCATGGACGCTTTAAAGGCGATCACCAACACCTTGAAGCGCACCCGGAAGTCCACCGGAAGCCAATGCAGCTCGCACAGGAGAGGAGTCACATGGGAGCGCCCCGTTGCTCCCATAATCCCCCGCGCGGCTGCATTCTGCACCAGTTGGAGCCTCCGGGTGCACCCCAAGGGGAGCCCCATGTAGAGAGCGTTACAATAGTCCAGACGAGAAGTGACGAGTGCTTGAGTGACTGTGCGTAGGGAGTCCCGATCCAGAAAAGGGCGCAACTGGCGTATCAGTCGAACCTGATAGAAAGCCCCCCTGGCCACGGCCGTCATATGCTCTTCTAAAGACAGCCGTGCATCCAGGAGGACGCCCAAGTTGTGAGCCCATTCCGTGGGGGCCAATGATTCGCCCCCAATAACCAGCGATGGCGCCAGCCGGCTATATCGGGACGCCGGCAGCCACAGCCACTCGGTCTTGGAAGGGTTGAGTCGAAGCCTGTTTCTCCCCATCCAGACCCGCACGGCCTCCAGGCACTGGGACATCACTTCCAAGGCATCGTTGGGTTTAGAACAAGATATAAAGATGTTTCACACACATCTTATAAATGGCACAAATGATGTATTTGGAAATCAATGTCCATAATTGCTTATGCACAGGGGCCAGATAAAAATACATTCTGGATTGTTCTGGATAGTAATATTTTCACTTTATTATCTGCACTAGCCTTCTCTTTTCAGTTGGCTCATTAAGAATATATTATATTACAAAAAGTTCAGTAGTGGCAGCTGACCATCCTTTTTCTTCTAAATCCATCTCATTCTTTACACACATGTATACACACAGAATCTAGAAAATTTTAGCACAATTATTAATATATTCAAAATGTCATTTTAAGAAGCAGGGAAATTCTGCCACAGGTGGCCATTTAGATTAAGTAGCCGTTGTGCACAAATATTTTGTGTACCCTCAGCCCTATTTAGAGAGCAATCCTATACTACTGCATCTACTCAAATTATCACTGAGTTTTTTGGTGTTTACTCCACAGTAAATGATAGTAGGATTGTTGCTTAAATCTCTACAGCCTAGAGACTGGGAGTAGTGGATAGCAGATTTGAGATAGAAATTGTTCTTAATTGACCTGCACATATGTAACCTACAGAATACATGTGTTTACGATTGCTAATGTTAACATACTTATTATTTTAGCTGGCATATAAAATAATTGAGTGGCAATATATATTTTAAACTATGTAATCTGGCAAACTAACTGATTTGTTTTCCAGGAGAATGATTATATTAATCCATGGAAAATTTAGAGACTCTAAATTAGAGTTGTTATAATACTACAATGTAAGATTTTTGTGTATTTAATAGATAAATATGATATCTATTACTGAAAGGAGAATTTACCATTTTCCCCTCACAATCTTTTTGATCAAGTTTTTTTTGCCCATTTATTCATTTTATCTCATATGTTTTGTAAAAAATATAACAATGATGTAAAGCAAGAATATCAAAATGATGCTACTGTAGATGTGTTATGAATGGTTTAAGTTGAACAATATACTGACAGCTCCTAATCCACATTAATTCCTATAGCTGTTAACAGTTTCTAGCTATTAACAGTTTCTCCCTCTTTCTTGTCCCCAAATGCCATGACAGTTTTTAATCATGCAACTGTCATCCCAGTTCTTTATTTTTAAAATCATGCTTTTATGATTAAAAGAGCAAATATACTTTTTTGTTTAACTAGCATTTTATTTCTTTATTTTCATAATGGTCCCATTGTATAGATTAAACTAAGAGATATTGAATTGTCGAAAACAATTCAATATAGCCCTTCTAGAGGACCTAGCTTCTACTATTCAATTGTCCAAGTCTATGTTGCTTCATAATAAAATGAAACTTTGCTTCTTTCACTACAGTTCAATTGATCTGAATCTGATTCACACAACATGCTAAGCCATAATGTAATTTGTTTAGTTTTGAATTAGCATTCTAAGTTAACCATGGTTTTAAATAATGTTGGAAAGGGGCTTGGACTAGAGGATCTTAAGGTTCTTCCCAGCCTTATACTCAGTGATCATTTTATTAATATTTTAAAGTCTGGAATACTATGGTTGCTCAATCATTGGTTGGGGCTTATAGGATAATAGACTAACAACATTTTATGCCTTTCTATCTGCCTTTTTGCCTTTTTTCCCCTTGATTCCAGCCCCCCTCCCACTTCCTCTTCAGTGATGTCATAATATCTAAGGTTAGTGTTCTGAAGAGACAGGGATGTTAATCCTGTTTCCTTTAGATGTTTATTGCTTGTTTCCTTCATTCACATTTCATTAATTTGATTTTGAAATCAAATTCAGGTTTCAAATTGAAGGTAATATCATTTACACTGTTTCTAGGGTATTTGTATTGGCTTTCTAGATTTGTCAATGAACAATTTGGTCTCTTCAAATTTTTATCTTACTATCTTTTTCCTCATTGCTGCCATTTCTTCAGACCATTTTCTTCCATTCAAAATGTGTTCCTATTTTCACAAACTGTTTTTATATAGTCTCATTACCTCCAATTATTCACCTAATGTGGTTTTCAGTACAATTATTTATTTTGTCTTTGAACCTTCCTTATAAGCGTATTGTAGCAAGTTACTAATACTGAAATAATACTAATGGATATATTTTGAGAACAGAACCATTTTAATTTAGTTTATTTTATAAGCATAATGTAGCAAGCTGCTAGTATTAAAAAATAGTAAAAGGTTCATTTTGACAACAAGAACCGATACCTGCTTGGATAAGAAAGTTTATAATACCACTTCAGAACATGAAAAAGTATGTTTACAAAATGAAGAAAATATATCTGACAAAAATGTGCCTGAGACACATTTTTGCATACAAAAAATGGGATCGTGTATTGAGATATTGGAAGATAGTAATGTTGTCTGGAGGCTGTTAGGGCCTGGATGGGGCTGGATGGGGAGCAACGAGTTGAAACTAAACCTTGGCAAGACCAAGTGGCTCTGGGTTTGGGGTTCATTGGCTCAGAAGAATTGCCACCTTTGGTCTTGGATGGGGTGGCATTACCCCAAACAGACCCTGTGCATAATCTGGGGGTTCTCCTGGACTCACGACTCCTGCTCAAAGAGCAGGTGGTGGTTGTGGCCAGGAGGGCCTTTGCGCAACTGCAGATTGTGTGCCAGTTATGCCCTTTCCTGGACCAACAATCCCTACTCACAGTTACTCATGCCATAGTCACTTCCCGCCTTGACTATTGCAATGCGCTCTACATGGGGCTGCCCTTGAAGAGCATCCGGAAGTTCCAGTTGGTGCAAAATACAGTAGCCCACATGGTTCTGTGCAGACCCCATATGCATATGTATCACTTCTCCTGCGGGAGCTGCATTGGCTGCCAATTTGCTTCTGGGTGCAATTCAATGTGCTGGTTGTCACCTTTAAAGCCCTTCATAGCTTGGGACCAGGTTATCTGAGGGGCCATTTCTTTCCAGTCACATCTACCTGACCTATCAGAGCAGGGAGGCAGGGAATGTTGCGGGTCCCATCTCCTCAGGAGATACACCTGATGGGACCCAGAAGAAGGGCCTTCTCCATGGTGGCTCCCTCTCTCTGGAACATCATTCCCCCAGAGATTAGAATGGCCCCCACTCTAACACTCTTCTGGAAGGCGCTGAAGAATGGAGCCCATTAAATGACTTGTGTGATGTGCTGTCGCCAAGGGGGGGGGCTGGGGGTGATTTTATTTTATTATATTAATTTATTTGATTCTTTTTTATTTGTTTTATTGTTTTAAATGAGGTTTTATATTCCTTAAGCCACCTTGAGTCGCCAAGTGCGAATAGGTGGCAGTATAAATTCAATAAATAAATAAATAAATTTCCAATTTTTAGATGTAAAAGTTCATCATGAAAAGGAAAAAAAAATGAAAACTTGATACTTAAACTCACTATTGAAATTGTTCCTGGATGGTTACTAAATATAGCATATATTTCATTTGCTATAACAAAATTGAAATGTGTATATGTTGTGCTAAAATAAAATGTATAGGAAACAAGACATATTAGGGAATAAACTATGGTTTTAGCTATGAAGACTGGTCCTATGGGACATTTTAAAAGTTAGTAACACACTGAGATTTATATGTTCATAACAATAGTAATTTTTTTAAAAAAATATTTTCTGATCTGCAGTTGATAGATAGTATGACACCATTGCGTCCCTATGAGCGCTTTGATACACTTCGTCAGTTTCTGGAACATGAAGGACATGTTTTACGTTTTTATGGTGTTTGGGATGACACTGAAACAATGTTTGGGGACATTCGAGAAGTGGTGCTACATTATTTTTTGGCTGATGATACGATTGAAATAAAAGAAGTGATACCTTTAAATTCTGGCCGGGATGCTGTACCTCTATTCCTCAATAGACAGAAACTACCAAAGGTAAATGCGTATGTGAAAAATATGATTTGATATTTGGCAGGGTTGGAATGAATTTATACACTTATTTCATTTGCTGTCTTTTTCAATGAAATAAATATTTATATATGTACTTAGCTGGACATAAAATATAGCTTTTATGTGAAACAGAAATTTATTACCTTATAAAATTTCAGATGCAGGTAGTTCTTGACTTATTGGGACAGGAATCTTGATGGTTGAGTGAAGTGGCCTTTAAGTGAGACATGACATGACCTGCAATTCTGGCACTCACGTTTGAAATTGTTAAGTGATCTTATAGGTCATTGTGTGAATGGAATCACAACTAAATAGTACCAGTTGCTTCAGAGCGGGTGGGAAAAACACCTGGATGCCCAATGTAGGCTAAGGATAAGATAGGGTGTTGCAGCACATGCAATCCTTCCATGGCCTGGGAGGCCTCAGCTGGCTTCAGACAGAGTCCATCCACACACATAAACATTTTTACATATTTGCATAGATTTACGTAGGTGGGTGGAGGGAGTTGCAGTTGTAGTGTGGCTGTAGTATGGTTGTAGTGTGGCTGAGCTGCCAAGCTCCTGAATTTTGATAACATGATCATGAGGACTACAACAGCTGTAACTTCAGGCATGGGTCATAATTCCATTCAATTAGTACCAGTGTAATTTCAAATAGTTGCTGAATGAATGGTCATACATCGAGCACTCTTTATACTAGATAATCCTGGCTGTTCTCTTTAGTTAGTCTGGTAATTACATATATTAATAGCCTGTGTCTTTTACCTGAATCCCAGTTTGCTCCAGTTGGAATATATCAGCCTGGTACAATTACAGATCGAACAGTCTTGAATGTGTTTGGAGGGCTAGTTGGGAATAAAGGTCGTTATATTCTGGATAATCGTAAGGTAAGCTATTTTAGACAATTATAATTTACAAAGTTCACTATATTTAAATTGTACTTCTATGACTGTAACTTGAGTAAGCAGGTTGGGTGAAAATGTGAATTGGGAGAATGTAATACAAAAATATAATCTCATACAAAAAGGAGCCTGGATAGCTCAACAGACAGAGCTCTGTAATTTAACACCAGCTGTCTGCAATTAAAGTAAGATCGAATCTCACCGGGCTCAAGGTTGACTCAGCCTTCCATCCTTTCTAAGGTAGGTAAATTGAGGACCCAGTTTGTGGGGGCAATAAGCTTGACTTTGTATAAACATACAAAAGTATGAAGGCTATTGCTTAACGCACTGTAAGCCGCCCTGAGTCTCCGGAGAAGGGCGGCATATAAATCAAATTAAAAACAAAAATTATTTCTCAAACCGAAGCTTCTCAAGAAATTTTTCAAAATAAAATAACTGATATAACCTTTAGTGTATATATTTCTCCTCTCCCCACTCCCCAATTATTAGACAGGAGCAGTGTATCAGGAATTTTATAAAGACTGTGACCTGAGAATAGGAGCAACAATCAATGTTTGGGGACGAAAAATAATTCTCTGTGATTGTGATGAATTTTCCAAAGAATATTATAAGACAAAGTATGGAGTCAGTAAGTAAAAATACCAATATTTTAATTTTAAATTGGGCATTTGTCAAGGTTGGCTTTTTAATCCATTGAGAATCTTCATTACTGTAGTGCTCATTTTAACAATAACAACTGTATTAGGGGTGGGTTCTAAAATTTTTCACTACCGGTTCTGTTGGCATGGCTTATTTTGTGGGCATGGCTTCATGGGGGTAATGTGACTGGGTGGGCGTGGCCTTTTTTTTTTTTTAACTTTTAAAAGCATTTTTTTCTACAACCTTAAGAGGTTGCAGAAAAAAATGCTTTTAAAAGCCTCTGACGATCAGGCAACTCAGCTGGGATCACCAGAGGCTTTTAAAGGCATTTTTTTCCCTACCGCCTCTTCGGCCAAAGAGGTTGCAGAAAAAAATGCTTTTAAAAGCCTAATGCCAATCAGGCAACTCAGCTGGGATCGCCAGAAGCTTTTAAAGGCATTTTTTCCCCTACAACCTCTTCGGCTGAAGAGGTTGCAGAAAAAATGCTTTTAAAAGCCTCTGACGATCCCAACTGAGCCGCACAATCATCAGAGGCTTTTTTTTTTTACTTTAAAAGCATTTTTTTCAGCCAAAGAGGTTGTAGAAAAAATGCTTTTAAAAGTAAAAAAAAAAAAAGCCTCTGATGAGGTGGGCGGTGTAAGCGAGCGGTGACCAGGCCGGGGACCGGTTCGAGGGTGTGGCCAGCCAATGTTATTACCGATTCTCCGAACTACTACAAATTTTTACTACCAGTTTTTGCGAACTGGGAGCAACCCACCACTGATCTGTATAGGAATTTAAGCAATTGGAGATGAATGCTTTTATTAATATCCTTGTATGGCAAAGATTCTGTCATATCTGAGCCCCTTGGATTTCATATACTTTTACCTCTAGTTATACCCCCCAGAAATTGTCAAAGGTTATTACCAAATTAAAACTTGTAATGAGATAGAAGAAAAATATGAATGGAGAATAATCATATTTAATAGTAAATTAAAAATAAATAAAATGAAATAACTTAGACCAGGGATGTCAAACTCAATTTCATCAAGGGCTGTATCAGCATTATGGTTGCCCTCAAAAGGACCAGTTGTACAGTGGGGCAAAAAAGTATTTAGTCAGCCACCAATTGTGCAAGTTCTCCCACTTAAAAAGATGAGAGAGGCCTGTAATTGTCATCATAGGTAGACCTCAACTATGAGAGACAAAATGAGAAAACAAATCCAGACAATCACATTGTCTGATTTGGAAAGAATTTATTTGCAAATTATGGTGGAAAATAAGTATTTGGTCAATATCAAAAGTTCATCTCAATACTTTGTTATATATCCTTTGTTGGCAGTGACAGAGGTCAAACGTTTTCTGTAAGTCTTCACAAGGTTGGCACACACTGTTGCTGATATGTTGGCCCATTCCTCCATGCAGATCTCCTCTAGAGCAGTGATGTTTTGGGGCTGTTGCTGGGCAACACGAACTTTCAACTCCCTCCAAAGGTTTTCTATGGGGTTGAGATCTGGAGATTGGCTAGGCCACTCCAGGACCTTGAAATGCTTCTTACGAAGCCACTCCTTCGTTGCCCGGGTGGTGTGTTTGGGATCATTGTCATGCTGAAAGACCCAGCCACGTTTCATGCTGATGGAAGGAGGTTTGCACTCAAAATCTCACGATACATGGCCCCATTCATTCTTTCCTGTACACGGATCAGTCGTCCTGGTCCCTTTGCAGAGAAACAGCCCCAAAGCAAGATGTTGCCACCCCCATGCTTCACAGTAGGTATGGTGTTCTTTGGATGCAACTCAGCATTCTCTCTCTTCCAAACACGATGAGTTGTGTTTCTACCAAACAGTTCTACTTTGGTTTCATCTGACCATATGACATTCTCCCAATTCTCTTCTGGATCATCCAAATGCTCTCTAGCAAACTTCAGACGGGCCCGGACATGTACTGGCTTAAGCAGGGAGACACGTCTGGCACTGCAGGATCTGAGTCCCTGGCGGCGTAGTGTGTTACTGATGGTAGCCTTTGTTACGTTGGTCCAAGCTCTCTGCAGGTCATTCACTAGGTCCCCCCGTGTGGTTCTGGGATTTTTGCTCACCATCCTTATGATCATTTTGATCCCATGGGGTAAGATCATGCGTGGAGCCCCAGATTGAGGGAGATTATCAGTGGTCTTGTATGTCTTCCATTTTCTAATTATTGCTCCCACAGTTGATTTCTTCACACCAAGCTGCTTGCCTATTGCAGATTCAGTCTTCCCAGCCTGGTGCAGGTCTACAATTTTGTTTCTGGTGTCCTTCGACAGCTCTTTGGTCTTCACCATAGTGGAGTTTGGAGTGTGACTGTTTGAGGTTGTGGACAGGTGTCTTTTATACTGATAACAAGTTCAAAGAGGTGCCATTAATACAGGTAATGAGTGGAGGACAGAGGAGCCTCTTAAAGAAGAAGTTACAGGTCTGTGAGAGCCAGAAATCTTGCTTGTTTGTAGGTGACCAAATATTTATTTTCCACCATAATTTGCAAATAAATTCTTTCCAAATCAGACAATGTGATTGTCTGGATTTGTTTTCTCATTTTGTCTCTCATAGCTGAGGTCTACCTATGATGACAATTACAGGCTTCTCTCATCTTTTTAAATGGGAGAACTTGCACAATTGGTGGCTGACTAAATACTTTTTTGCCCCACTGTATGTAATACTATGACAACTCACAGTGGCCAGGTGGGTGTGGCTGGGTAGGTGTGGCTGGGTGGTCACAGCTGGGTCGCTGCAACTAAGTGGATATAGCTGGGTATGACCAGCTCAACCCTCCTCACTGGGTGCGGCTGACCAGAGATGGCTACGTTGGGATGGAACAAGTTGTAGTGGCTAACTCAATGTGGAGACATTTCGGTGCCCTACAAGCTGCTCGCCTCCCTAAACTGCTGGCAGCCAAGTGCGTGCGTGCATGCTCACACACACACACACACACACACATTCTACATTTGGGGATTTTTATCCACAGAGAGAGAGGGCCTTCTCTCCAAGCCCAGGCATGATTGGCAGTTTGCAAGTTCAGATGTGGATAAAAGTCTCCAATGAAGACTTGGAATGATGTGTGTGTGCATGCATGTGCACAACATGTTAAAGGAGACGTTCTTCCCCCAATCCCAGACATCGGGACATTGGCATTTCCCTTTCCGGTGCCCCCTCCCAGGAAAGCAGGAAGTGGAGGACAATCCTACTGCATGTGGAAGCACAGAGGAGAAAGTTTGCAGGAAGCAATTTTCTCCGAGTCCAGATCTCTGGAGAGCAAGAGGAGGAGGTGGGGAGCAGTGCTTCCCAGTCCTGCACGAGGGAGGCTGGCCCTTCTCGAAAGGGAATCCCCATTTCCAATCATGTATGGTAAGAATGCTGGCTTGTTGGGGCAGGCTTCCCTCATGAAGCTCCTCCGCCACCTCCTCCTCCTTTCTAGAGATCTGTCAAGGCAGAAGTTGGACTTGGAGGAAACTGCTTCCTGCAAACTTTCTCCTCTGCGCTTCCACATGCAGCAGCATCATCCTCTGCCACCTGTGGGGGGCAAGTCAAGGCTGGGAGGGGGGATCCGGAGATCTCCAGTGGAGGAAGGCAAAATCAGGGTGACCATCAAAGCCTCGTTCACCAAAGGCGCCTCGCCATTACTCTCAGGCCACACAAAAGACCTCTGGATGGCAGCGCGGGCTGCTCGGAGCTCTGTGCAGCAAAGGGCAAGTGCCCAGCCTGGGCTCAAGCTCCTGGGGTACTGGGACCAAGAAGCCCAGCCCTGCCCCACTTCCCTGAGAGGGCACCCAGCCGCACTTACCTCCTTCTTGAGGTTGCTGCTGCTGTGTTGTCCTTGGCCAGGTTGCTCATGGTGGGTGTAGGATGGCAAAGTGCATGCCCCTGCACTCCCTCTCCATGCGAGGAGACCTGGCTTTGTAAGCAAAACATCCTCAGTGATAGAATGGGAGACCATCAGGAGAGACCAGGAGAAGGGGGCAAGGGGATGGCAAAAGGGCAGCAGGGCTGCTGGTGGCCAAGTGCTAAGGCAGGATTTCCCTCAGACCCTCCCTCCCTATCATTCCAACTTCCCTCCCTCCCTCCCTCCCTTTCTCTGCATCCAGAAAGGGATGAAGGAGGGAGGGGGAGAGGGTGGCAGAGCTGCTGGTGGCCATGGTTTTCCCATACAGGGGTGGGGGGTGGGCTGTGGGGCCACACCAGCGAGCGAGCCATGGAGGCAGTGGAGACAATGGTGGCTGCTGCTATACTGCTGTTGGCCGCACGCTGATCTACATCAACTTCGTGGTGGCTTACCCAGGCCTTAGATCAAGCCTGTGGGGCCACCCTGGAGGCCAGCCCCCACGCGCTTGCCACCTAGTGGGCTGGGCTGGGGTCGAGGCGGCATGGGCCGGCCTCTTGCTATCTCCAGGCAGCCCCACAGGCCAGATCTAACCACATCACGGGCCAGATGTGGCCCATGGGCCTTGTGTTTCACATGTCTGCTTTAGGTCAATGGGCAGCCCATAGGCTCTGTGTGGCCCCTAAATCTCCTCAGGAGCAGTCCATTGAAAAAATTTACTAGCAAAGTTTTTGATATTTTTTAGGATTGAAGATTTACAGTACACATATCAAGCTATTTAATACTGAAACTTGCAAATATGTTCAAAAATAGAGTTGTCCTGCCCACTCCAATAACATGACCAGCTCTCCCCATGAGTGCTTTAATAAATGCAGCTTCCAAGGAAAAAACAATTTTAAGTAATGGGTGTTCTGCTTCAAACATGGAATTTTTGACTCCTATTACTTTACTCTTCAGATAAAGTAAGAATTAACCAGCCTTCTTTAACTGATTCACTTTTTTGTTTATTCAGTGCTAGATAGTCTGAACATCAGATTATATCAGATTGTAATAAAACTTGGTCATGGGAATTCTATTAGAGAAACAACAGCAATTGCAAAACCTAAGTTCAAATCCTTTAAGTTTGAAATGATTTCTCTTGGAGAGTTAAATGTGAATTTAAATAGCCTGTTGCATTGAAAATTAAGAGTAAGCTATTTATTTGAGCCTGATCATCTCTGCATTTTATGATTTCTATTGGACACTCACCAGCTGAAAAGAATTTGTGGTTGCTTGTGAGATTTATTTTCACATCCTGCCTTGCAGCAATGCTTCTGAGAGAATGAGAAAAGCAACAGAAACAGTTGCTTCTTATTTATTAGAATCTGCAGACTAGAGCAGCAAAAATACTCAAGTAAATGAGTAAAATAAATGCATTTGAGAGATTAACACAATGTATTGCTTTCAGTTTCAAGCTGAGCTTGTTGTGATCTGCAGTTGCTGGTGCAACTGAAGTAGAAGAACTGGCTTTTCATTTTTACAATGGTTCTCTTGGAAGAACCATTTAAATGTAGTTCCTTTTAGCCCATCTTCAAGAAGTGCACTAGGTGGCACTGTTGGAATAAAGGAAGATCTTAATCAGCAATCTATTTGTTATGCAAGTCCTGAAATTCAGATTCAGGAAAAGATAACTGCACATTAAAAAAATGTTTGTCCTCAAGGAACATATCCCATTTATTGTTTGGAATATGTTATTATGTTATTCCTCTTTGGTATAAACAACATAATGCAGAGAAAATAAAAAGCAGTAAGCAAAAGAAATTAAAGTCAGGAGTTAAGAAAAAAGAAAAAGGAGCTCTTGACTAAATTTAATTTATATCAATCCTGTTCAGTATAACTTCACATCTTTAAGTCTTGGGAAGCTATTCTTTCTTTCACTATCTTCACTTACTGATTCATGCATTGTCTTTTGTTTGTTAGGTTTCTAACCACTCAGTCTATGTCAGCTCTATTTATGGTAATCACAATTTTCTTAGCCCTCTCCTTCCTTTCAACTCACTCATTTGTTTTGTGATTTATTCTCTTTACTTGACCAAACCACACAATGTACTTCTTTTGTACTGGGTACTAATTTTTATATTCAATCTTTTCTCACTCTTTGGATAACTTTACTAATAACATTTTTAATTTATCCATACTTGATGTTACTCAACTATAAAGTGCCCAGATACTGTAAGTTTCATCCTGATGGCTCCTAATGGTTCTATTTCAATTTCTAATTTCCCATAAAACTTCAAATCATCCATCTAAAGCAGATGTGAGATTTTATTAGAACTTTTTGCTGATTTGTATTCAAGATTTGTGGTTTTTTTTTCAAAATCACTGAAAGTGGGTTCATAGCAATGACAAATAATAAGGGTAATAATGAGTCACCCTGGAAGATCCCTTATTTGTCATTTCCAATCACCAGTTCTGCCTTCCACTACTTCATTATTTTTTATACAGACATTCTAATGTTTCTATTGACACCAGTTGTTTGCAAACATTCAATAACATTCTATATAGTAATTATCAAATGCCTTTTTATAATCAGTTCAGACCATATGAAAATTTGCTTTTTGCCATATGTAATTCTCCAAAACCGTTTTATCACTCAGAATTTGATTTTTTGTATCTCTGCTTTTCCTTTTATTTCCTTTCTTTTCTATTGAAAGGATGCTATTTTCTTCTAAATAACCTTGCATTTTGCCTGCCCATCATGCTGGTGAGTAATTTAAACATTGTTGGCAAGTATGTTGTTGGCCTGTAGTTTCTTGGCATGTTGTTGGCCTGTAGTTTCCTTTCACTGGATTTTTTTGAATCAAATTAGGATTAGCCAATTATTGCAATAGTTCATTAGGCTGTTTAGCTATAGTTGAATGTAAGCTAGTCAACTATTTGAGCCAAAAGTTATGCAATTGGTAATTTCCAGGAATTATCTAATTTTTAATCATTTTCACTTGATTTTTAACAATTTCTGCTCATATTATTGGCTCTTCCATATGATTTGTAGTAAATTCATTTTCAAATTCTTTTATCCATCTTGCATTCTTTCTGAGTTTCCCATATATCTTTCCAAAATGATTGTTTCCTTTTTATTTGGTTTTCTATTTTCGGAATTTCTGTTGCTATTTTACTTCGGTAGAATAGTTTCTGGTCTGATTGAGATAGGTGATTTTATTTAAATTGGATGATATATCCATTAGTGTTCCCCACTATTGTTGTTATTTGCTGCTTTATGATTTCTAAATTTGATTTCTTCAATTTTTCTTGTGCTAAGACAATATTTTTTTATTAGGCTTATCTTTTTCCTTACATTTTTCAGATTTTGCTCTTTCATATTCTTTAAATTACTCACATCTGATCTTAATTTCTTTATTTTGATCTCCAATCTACTCTTCCATTTTGGGATTGCATATAATTTTGCTTTTGGTTTTCTAAGTTTGATATTCAGTTTTTCTATATCAACCACTGCTGTATTGTAGGCAGACTGACTGGTCTGTTTGATACATGTTATTTTAATCTTTGCAAGGATCTTATTTACATCCTTCATTATAGGTGCCAGATATTTTAGGGGCATTACTTTCAATGCAGACAATTTTGTCTTTCTATTGAAAATCCTGCATATGTCATAATTTTCTCTTTTAATCCTTCTTCGCTAGGGGACGGGTCAATTCATAGGATTGGTTCTAGTATTTCATATAATACAGAGATTATAATAAGTAGTGATAGTAGTACTGTTACAGCAATACTGCCTGACTCCCAGTAACTCTTCATAAATGTATAGCTATAATGTAGGGGTCCTTGGTGCTCTCTGAGCTTGATTGTTTTCTTGTAGACGTTTCATTACCAAAACAGTGGTTTAGCAGGATGATGTTATCTAGTTTTGGGAATAAAACGTCTGCAAGAAAACAATCAAGCTCAGAAAGCACCAAGGATCCCTCATTTCAACCCTGAACTACAAATATTCTCCTTTATTAGCTGTAATTTAGTTGAGCTTAGTGAGAATAAATTGGTTTACCCATGTAATTTAATGTTAGGGCAGGATGGTTACATATAAATTATACATAGCTGGAGTAAAATGTTATGAAATATATCATAGTTATGAAATTATTACAGGTAAACTTTAGTGATCTGTATTTATATTTAAAAAGACTAAAATAATCTAAAACTAATGATGTGAATAAAGGTCCATCTTCTAGAATGTTATTAGTAATGTATAAGTTTTTCCTATCTATAAAAAAATAGCAATAGCACTTAGACTTATATACTGTTTCATAGTGCTTCATAGTGCTCATTTTACTGACCAGGCAAATGTACAGGAAGCAAAGGGAACTATCAATGGTGATATGCAGGGAAAAATCTTTACAAAAATTCCTGTTTAGAGAAATGTCTTATTCTTAAAACATATACTTACTTATCTTATGACTTTTTTTTTAAATGGAAAATTATTTTATTTCAATAGATGTATGTGGTATATATAAAATGTAAGCGCTAATATTCAGGAACTAATCTGAAATATGTTGATTTGTTACTTGTGTTTCACAGAGGATTTTACTCCAGTTCCATACAAGACAGCACCTTCTCTGAAAATAGAAAGAGTGATTCCTCCGTACAGTGGTTTTGGATCTGAAGAAGACTCTCTTTGCTCTTGCCTTAGCTTACTTCCTAAACCTCCCCAAAAGGACTTCAAGAAATTCATGGAAAAAGACAGGTATCTGAATAACAGTGATACTCAGAACCTTTTTTCTCCATTTGAGTGAGAGACAGGAAGAGATGTTCATTTTTTAAATAATGTCAATACAAATGGGCAATTGTAGCAGTCATATTTTCTATCTGGTAGACAACAGATCCTAATAACAAAGTTTTGATCTAATATATTTTCATTAATCTCAAATTTTCTATAAGAAAATTCTAAGAACCATTATAGTCCGTTTATCTTTTCTGGCCTCTTCTCTGTAATAATTTATATGTCCTATATCATGCTCTATTTTGCAACGTAGTCTGAGATTTACAAAGCAGTTTTTCGAATTAGGACATCTAGATCATTATATACTGCATGGGTAAATTTTGTGAATTAATGGAGAAAGCCTTGCTATGGAATTTCCCCACAGATTTGAATTCTTTCCTTATAGAGGACAATTGCAAATCAATATAGTTCATGACCATCTCCCCAAAACTTCAGTATCTTGGCTTCTCTAGGAAGTGTTCTTAATAATGGGGTATGAGTGTGCACTTAGTGCATTTAAACAACTTATCAAAGACTGGAAGCCCAACAAATCAGTCTGCTCTTCTTAGGAATATTTTTTAGCAATCAAACTCCTCTTTTCAAATATATTAATCTTAGTATGCTGTAATGCACTTCCCACAGCAGTTTTGGAGGGCCAAGATTGAATTAATATAAATCCTGACTATGGGATGTTATTTTACAAATTGAAATTATCTGTTTCTCCAGGTAAAGAGAAAATGAAACAATTTTGAAAATCTGTCCTTCTGCTTTTTCAGACAAGGCCTTGAAAGCAATATTTTGCGGTTCCTTGCACAATATATTACTTCTGATCCCATCGCTAAGGATCGGAAGTTCATTATTTCTTATTTTCTAAGTGATGACACGATATCAGTGTTTGAACCTCCCCAAAGAAATACAGGTAAGATAATACCGGTAATTCTGCTGCAAGCAACTCTGATAATGAAGAGGATAGAGATTGTCCTTTACTTACAACTGTGATTGGGACTGAATTACTGTCAGTAAGTGATGCAGTCTAAAGCATTAGTGCATTACTTAGCAAAACCAATCCTCGCAATCCTTGTTGTCTTTGTTAACTGAATCCCACAGTTGTTACACAGAAGTCTACACATTTTTTTTTTTTTAATTTGATTTATATGCCGCCCTTCTCCGGAGACTCAGGGCGGCTTACAGTGCGTTCAGCAATAGCCTTCATACTTTTGTATATTTATACAAAGTCAGCTTATTGCCCCCACAAACTGGGTCCTCATTTCACCTACCTTAGAAAGGATGGAAGGCTGAGTCAACCTTGAGCCTTGGAGAGATTCGAACCAGCAGTAAATTGCAGGCAGCTGTGTTAATAACAGGGTGCTTTAAACCACTGTAGTACCAAGGCTTCTTCTTTAACATCCCTGTTAAAATGTCAGTTTTTAAGATGTAAAAAAATATCAGACCAAGATAAATCACTTCAGAATTTTTCCGCCTTTAATATAACATGTAAGCCATACAATTTAATTGAAAAACAAACTGAAAACATTTGGGGGAGGGATAAAATACAAATAAAAACTTACAATAATATGGTTGCATAAGTGTGGACACCCTCTTATAAATAGGAATGTTTTTGGTAGTACGTGAGCTCTTATTATTTGGTCATATCTCTTTTGGTGGTTTTTGGGGAATGATATTTTATCATATGTAAGTATGTAGATACATAGGTAAATGTTTTCAAATTAAAGATGTTGAGTTTATATTACATCATTTATTTCAAAATCATGGAATCTGACAATGTGGGGGAAATATTGATTATATCAGGCATAAGAATAGTCAAGAGAATTATATTCAATGACTGAAAATGTATTATCCCAGATATCAAAGACTGGATTCAAGAAATCTGTAACATTAATTTTTGAAAAGGCTGTTTTTTCTATTAATTAAAAAAATGACATGATGCATTTCATTGGCATAGATTTCGTAATATCTTACAAACACATATATAGTATATATAATCTGACATGTTATTAAATTTAATAAATTAATTTTCCATTTCTTATTTTATTTTATTTTGTTTAGATATTATAACATATTTATTGGATATGTGTATTGAGTTCTATTTTTTACGTTGCAATAAAATTATAAAATAAAATTCAAATCATTTGAGTTAATATTTTCCTAATTTCTTATGAATCCAGTCTGCTGTAATCCTAATTTCTCCCAAAGGGATGATATGATTCTCAGTTGCTCATGAAAACTTCTAAAATTGTAAGTTTGATCATTGTGGTGAAATAAAAGAAGAGTGTCGTTAGATTATGTTGATTATTATCATGAATATAGCAGGAAATCTGGGGCAAGGAGGAAATGAATTGTAATGATTGTTACATAGGCTTGGCTATGGAAAATTCAATGTGAGTGAGTGAAATGTATGAGTCTTGTTTTATTTTCATGTGTATTTTATGACTTGCATTCAAAAGATCTAGTGTGCTTATGATTTTTTCATTATAGGAGTAATTGGTGGGAAATTCTTGGAAAGAAGTCGCATTAAAAAGCCTGGACAAGAGCTTTATAAAAGTGAGCCATCTGAATACTACACAGCTAAGGACCTGTTTGTTGGAGCCAAAGTGTGTTTCCATGGCCACGTCCTTCTTTTGGTGGATGCTGATGAATATGCTTTCAACTACATGGAGAAGCATGCAAATGAGGCAAGCTATGTTTGCTAATCCTTATTTGTCTTTGAAGGCATATGTGGTTTTATTATCTTGCCTAAATAAGGGCGGCTCTGAAGATCTTTGTTTATATGTTGAGGATCAAAACAGCCATCATTGTTTGATTTTGTATAAAAAATAATATGCTCTATGAGTAATACGTGCTACATTGTGAGTTTGGTAAATGCCATGGAGTTTATTTTGTGCCTGATGACTGAAGTTTACAGACTGATTTTTCATAATGTTCTAATCCTACCTTTGTTTTAAGAAAGGAATAATAATAGTAACAAAAAGGGAACTACTGATAAGGCCTGTGTTGTACCGGTTTATTTTCCCATACAAAATCCAAAGGAGCTAAAGCTAATCAAACAAAATCCCTAAGAATATTTGATCATTGTTATGATTGCTTGTTTACTATAGTATTCATGTAAAGCCTATTGGATAAAGAACAGCTAAACAATGAAAAGATAAAACTAGCCTGATGAAAAATTTGGCAGAATTGTAGGAATTTTTTAAAACTTTTTAATTTTAATCCAGAAACTAAATATCATTTCTATTTGATGCTTATAGCTACTTGATGTATTCTGTTGAAGTAGATATATTTTAATAGCCATATGTTGTGATAACATTTTCTCAAATTAGAAAAGAATTTACAATGCCATTGTGCAAATAGGTCTTAGGTCTTAGTCCTATTGTGTGGGATGAATTTGAGCCTGTGACTGCTGAGGAAGTGGACAAGGCTGTAGGAGCGATGAGTTCTTCCACTTGTTTGTTGGACCCGTGCCCCTCCTGGCTGGTTTTGGCCAGCAGGGAGGTGACACGAGGCTGGCTCTAGGCTTTAGTTAACGAGTCCTTGAGGGAAGGGGCCTTCCCGCAACCATTAAAGGAAGCAGTTGTAAGGCCCCTCCTCAAGAAGCCTTCCCTGGATCCAGCAGAATTAAAGAACTTTCGTCCAGTCTCCAACCTACCCTTTGTGGGAAAGGTGGTAGAGAAAGTGGTGGCACTTCAGCTCCTGCGGTCATTGGAGGAAACGGATTATCTAGACCCTTTTCAGTCTGGCTTCAGGCTACAGCTCGGAAACTGTCTTGGTCACACTGATGGATGATCTCTGGCGAGCCCGAGATGGGGGTCATTCCTCCATTTTAGTGCTACTTGACCTCTCAGCAGCTTTCGATACCATTGACCATGGTATCCTGGGATGACTTTGGAGTGGGAGACACCGTGTTATGGTGGTTCTCCTCCTATCTCTCTGGTCGGTCACAGTCGGTGTTGGTAGGAGGAGAGAGGTCGACCCCTAGGCCCCTCGTTTGCGGGGTGCCTCAGGGCTCAGTCCTCTCTCCCCTCCTATTTAACATCTACATGAAGCCACTGGGTGAGATCATCCGATGATACTGGGTGAGGTATCAGCAATACGCTGATGATACCCAGCTGTATATCTCTACCCCGCGTCAATTCAGTGAGGCGGTGGATGTGATGTGCCGATGCCTGGAGGCTGTGAGGGTCTGGATGGGAGTCAACAGACTCAGACTTAACCCAGACAAGACCAAGTGGCTGTGGGTATTGCCTCCTAAAGACTATGTTGATTGTCCATCCTTGGTTCTGGGGGGTCGCCTTTGCAAGGCGAACCTTGCAAAGGTCCCCTCAGAACAGGCTCGCAATTTGGGTGTCCTCTTAGACTCACAGCTAAGATTAGAGCAACATCTGTCAGCTGTGGCTAGGGGGACCTTTGCAAGGTTCGCCTGGTGCACCAATTGTGACCCTACTTGGATCAGGAGGCTCTCCTCACAGTCACTCATGCCCTTGTCACCTCACGGTTAGATTATTGCAGCGCGCTCTACATGGGGCTACCCTTGAAAAGTGTTTGGAGACTACAGTTGGTCCGGAACGCAGCCGCATGAGCTGTCGTGGGTGCACCTAGGTACACCCACATTACACCAATTCTCCGCGAGCTGCACTGGCTCCCTATTGGTCTCCGGTCACAATTCAAGGTGTTGGTTATTACCTTTAAAGCCCTACATGGCTCAGGGCCAGGTTATCTTCGAGACCGCCTTCTACCGCATAGCTCCCAATGACCGGTAAGATCCCACAGAGTTGGTCTCCTCCGGGTCCCGTCAGCTAAACAATGCTGGCTGGCAGGCCCGCAGGGGAGGGCCTTCTCTGTGGCTGCCCCAGCTCTCTGGAACCAGTTACCTTCTGAGATCTGGACCATCCCCACCCTATTGGCCTTCCGAAAAGCAGTGAAGACCTGGCTTTTCCGGCAGGCCTGGGGCCGTTGATCTCGCTGTTGCGATCTGGCGAGATCCGGCCATGAATGGTGTGAATGGGTTTCAATTGTTTTTAATGTTTTAATTTTTAATGTTTTTATATATAGTTTTTAAATGCATTGTAAGCCGCCTTGAGTCTTCAGAGAAAGGCGGCATAGAAGTTGAACAAATCAATAAATAAAATATATACAAGTAAAAATAAGCAATACTAAAATTCAGATCCATTTCAAACATATTGGAGATCATGCTACAATTGTTGCCTAACACCATAGATCTGATGTGACTAAGCTTTTGTCTTGAATGCAAATTAGATGCAGAACAAAATGGTATGTCACTTTTTAAAACCATTACCATTTGTTTTTGCCAGTTATTAATATTAGTGCACAATGAATGTTTTTAGATTTTCTCACTCACTGGAAAATATTGGTATTTTCAGTAGGAAAATATTGCATATCACTAAGACAGCAGAGTAATCAAGTACAAGTCTTATAAAGATTATAATTTCTTAAATTTAAATTTTAAAGTTAAATTATATATAACACAGTTTCATAGTTTCTTCACACATGGTGAAATTGTACTTGACATCCAGAACTGGCATCATTCGATCAGTCCAAATTCTGTGCAAGTTGTTTGTTCTCTTCAGTTCTTTAACTTCTGGTTTTTGTTTTCTGCATTCTAGCAGTGAAATTTTCATATTAACAATCTGACAAATTGTCTTGCTTTCAAGGTAATATTGCCTTGTTTTACTGTCTTAATTCCTCACAGAACAGGCCAAGAGTTATAAAAATACTAAGTTTCTAAAATACCTTCTCTCTAATACTTGGGGGGGGGGGGGGCGGGGCTTCAAGATGGTTTTTGATTCCTAGTAACTAGTCCTTGCAATTTTCCTGGAAAAGAATTTTTTGAAGTGGTTTGCCATTGCCTATTTTCAAGTATTGACAAGAGTGGCTGGCCCAAAATTACACAGCTCGTTTCATGCCTAAAGCAGGATTAGAACCAATACTCTTCCAGTTTCTAGCCTGACGCCTTAACCTCTCCACTAAATTGGCTCTCCACTAATGCTGTTATCCATGCTCAAACTCAGGAAAGAGCAGTGGTGAGATGCAGATCGAAACTGCTGGCTATCCATATAAGAAAACTGGGAGAATACATGTGCAGTCTGACAGTATATTGGCACATGACTCTGAAGTAAATCCTGGCATTCTTAATAAGTGGTAATTTGAAATGTAATTCAATGGATATATGTCATAAGGAAAAAATAACTTGGTGTCATTAGAACTCAGTCTTGCACTATACAGTATTAAGTTAAGGGGTACAGCAAAATCAACCTTGAACCTCCCTCATTTTTTTTTCTAGTATGCTATGGCCAATATCAACGTAATCCTGAACAAATTGAAAGTTATAGGAGAACCTCGGTCAAGAGAGATTAAACAGATTTTTGCAGCCGCTGATCCTCAGAGCACTTACATGATTGATTATGATGAGTTCAGGTAAGATTCTGAGCATCCAAGCAAATAATGCTACCACAAAGAATTCTTTTTAATTCTTATGTAGAATATTGTTAAACAAAATGAATTTTCTAACATACGAGTTGTTATACTCTTTAACTATTCATCCATTTAGCCAGCATGTTTTGTTTTAATTAACCCTACTATGAAAGATTTTTCCCAGAGCATAAAAAGCAATTGAACCTTAGTCATTCTATACATAGATCAAAATGTTATGTTCATAATTATAGACAATATTGTAAGTTCATAACAATATATTTCAAAAGTATCTTTCCAAAAGCCTTCCATTAACACCAAGGTCCTTGCATACTTTAGGTACCTTCAGTAAATAACAAAATGGCAGGTGAATTCAACATGCCATTTTTTAACTCTTTGCTTTACATCAGGGGTGTCAAACTCGCGTCGTCACGGCGGTGTCACATGACATATCAGGACTTCCCCCCTTCGCTAAACTGGGTGGGAGCGGGGCCAGCACATGATGCATCTGGCCTGCGGGCCACAAGTTTGATACCCCTGCTTTACATGGATTGAGGCTGAAGAGTCCTTTAAGGGCCTAGCTATCTTCGAGACCGCCTGCTGCTACCGACGACCTCCCAGCGACCCGTGTGTTCCCACAGAGAGGGCCTCCTCAGGGTGCCATCAGCCAAACAATGTAGGCTGGTGACCCCCAGGGGGAGAGTCTTCTCTGTGGGGGCACCTACCCTCTGGAATCAGCTGCCCCCAGAGATAAGGAGAATCCAAGACCTCAGTGCCTTCTGCCGTGCCCTTAAAACCCACTTTTTCCAGCATGCCAGGCTGGCTTAGGAAGAAATTTTTTAAATTTTTAAATGTTTAATTGGTTTGTGGTTTTTTAAATTTTGGGCCAAATTTATATAGATTTTAATTGTTTTTAATATTTGTATTTTATGTTTTTAATTCTGGCTGTGCACCGCCCTGAGTCCTCAGGGAGAAGGGCGGTATATAAATTATAAATAAATAAATAAATAAATAAGTAAAGAAGTAAGTAAGTAAATAAGTAAGTAAGTAAGTAAGTAAGTAAGTAAGAATATGCCCTATCAGGAACCTGAAGAAAGTTCATAAATCAGGCAATTCCTTCAGGGTCACCCTATACAAGTAATCCTCCACATGCGACCACAATTGAGCCCAAAATTTCCATTGCTAAACAAGGCAGTAATTAAGTAAGTTGTGTCTAATTTTATGACCTTTTTTGCCACAGTCATTATTTGAATTAATGCAGTTGTTAAATGAATTGTGCAGTCATTAAGCTAATCTGGCTTTCTCCATTGACTTTGCTTGTTGGAAGGTTACAAATGGTGATCACCTGTACAGAATTGTATTCCAAGGGAATCAGATTTACCGTATTTTTGGTATATAAGACACACTCCCCCTCCTAAAAAAAAGTGGATGGAAATGTCTGTGCGTCTTATACAGCAAATGTTGCCAAAGCCCCACCCACCCACCGGCCCCCACCCTTTGGCCTCTGCCTCCCATCAGTTTGCCTCCTTGCAGCAAACAGATTGGTCAGCTTCAGGACAACCTGTTTTAGCATGAGCAGCTGATTGGCGGTTGGATCTGCACGCCCCATTTTTGGCCTGTTCCAGGCGGCGGGGATTGCCACTGCCACCTATCCCCGCCGCCTGGGATGGGCTGAAAATGGGACATGCAGAGGCTGAAAATGGGGTGCATGGAGGCGGCAATAGGCGGCAGCGGTGATGGGCGTGGCGATCCCCGCAGCCTGGAACAGCTGATAGGCAGTATTCCAGGAAGCAGATCCAACCACCAATCAAGTTACTCATGCTAAAGCAGGCTGTGCTGAAGCTGACCAGGCTGTTTGCTGTTTGCTGCAAGGAGGCAAATTGCTGGGAGGCAGAGGCAGAGGCAGATTTTTTTTTCTTGTTTTCATCCCCAAAAGCTATGTGTGTCTTATAGTCCAAAAAATATGATATCTTATCAGAAGATATTTGATGAATCTATATTGATTATGCTGCTTTAGTGAAATAAAGTGTGAATATTACTGTAACTGTGAGCGTTCCTTATTATTGGAAAGTCATATTGATCTTGAACAAATAAGCATACATCTTTATAAAATAATTGTCTCCTGTTATGAGTTAAAACAATCTTATTTTCAAATCAGTGCCTTTCAGCAAGACACAGTGCAATCATTTTATCAATATTAAACTACAACTTCTAATGTAAGAATACAGTTTCAGTTATTGAAGTTGACCATTGTTTAGTTTATCATTCCCAACCACTGCAGAGTTTTAAGAAAACTAGAACTTTGCTTCATCTTTTTTCCTTAGAAGTAGACAGAATAATTTTGGAGATAATACCATCTCTCGATCACCCTGATTCAGATGTTTTGTTGTTTATGATCCAAAGAAAAATCATTTGGAGTTGTCAAGGAAAATAAAAGTTAAAAACAATGTTCCTATCCTTAAATGTGCACAATCTAAATATCAGTAACTAATATATAGTTTAGAATTCCAAATTTAACTTAGGTGGATTGTGTGTTTTAAGTGTCTTTCTTGGTTTATTAAACTTTCATATTATAATTCATAGAACTTATCAATATTATGAAAAACAATCCTAAACTAAGTAGGTAAAAGTTCAGAAATTGACATATTGCCATGATATTTTTTTCCATCTCATTATTTTATGAAACTCATGGTAAAAAAGAAGCAGTATAATGTGCAGCAAAAGATAGTCAATACTAATTTTAGCAGTATTTCATTTTAGGTAATTTTAGACCAGATTAATGCCTGATTTAAGAGTTTAAACTTTCTAGAATGCTCTACAGGATGGCAGTTTATGGACGATAATATTCTTTTGAATGGTTTCTCAGTTGGGTTGAGCTTTAGGAATGGAGTATTATGGTTGCTTTAATCCTATCTGAAAGATGTATCTCAAAAATTCTGGGATTTTTGCTGGGCCCTGTGACCCTTAGTTGTATAGTACTTATCTTCTGTGCTGTTTAATATCTGTGTTAAACCACTAGAAATGACCTATAAAGTTTTTGCTAGTGTTATTAATATGAAGATTTCAAATGGTTGTGCCCCTCTTTTTTAATCTATAAACTCTTAGGAAACTGAAAAACTGGTGGTAGTTAGGGGCTAGATATGGTTGAACAGGCTAAAGTTTAATTGGGAAAAAGAAATGTTTCAAATAAGGAATTATTAATTTGATAGAGGGATTCAATTACTATTACTCCAATTACTATTGGAGTAATACAATTTGGAGCATCCATCAGTTTAGGCTTATACTTCAACTGTGACTTTAGTTAAGAGAAATGGAATTCATCTCAGTAATATAGCCTGTAAACATATTTTTTTTTATTCAAAAAGTTCAATTTATACAAAATTTAGAATTTTTTAAATTTATTTTTGTTGGTGCTAAACAGTCAGATTGTATTACACTAATTCAGGACCAGATGCATCAATTGACAGTACATTTCAAGGCACTATTAAAATACTAGTACTTTCTTAAAAGCCCTGAAATTATTGGACTGAGTTAGTTAATTAAAAGTCCACACAAAAATCTATGTTATTTGTTTACCTTAAGAACCCATGTTTATTAAAATCAATAGAGTTGAGCGGAGTAGCAGTAAAATAAGCATTATCCAATATAATTTTTTTCCTTTAGGTATATAGATCAGGGGTGAAATGTTCCCGGTTCGGACCAGAGCGATGGAGGCGGGTAGTTTGGAGAACCGGTAGCAAAAATCCCTGCCCTCCCCTCTCCCCCCCCCTCCCCCGCTGAGCCGCCCAACCATCAGAGGCTTTTTTTTTTTTTTTTACATTTAAAGCATTTTTTCTGCAACCTCTTCGGGCAAAAAAAATGCTTTTAAAAGTAAAAAAAAAAAGCCTCTGATGATTGCGCGGCTCAGCTGGGATCATCAAAGGCTTTTTTTAAAAAACACCCTTTTTTTCTTTTAAATGCCTCTGATGATACAAGCTGAGTTGCCTAATCGGCAGAGGCTTTTTAAAAAATTCAGCTTGGATCGTTAGAGGCATTTAAAAGAAAAAACCCCTTTTTTTCTTTTAAATGCCTCTGACGATACAAGCTGAGTTGCCTGATTGGCAGAGGTTTTTTAAAGGCAGAGGCTGGGATTGTCAGAGCCTTTTGAAAGCATTTTTTTACAACCTCTTTGCCAAAGAGGTTGTAGAAAAAATGGTTTTAAAAGTTTTTTAAAAAAGGCCACGCCCACCCAGTCACATTACCCCCCCAAGCCACGCCCACAGAACCGGTACTAACAAATTTTAGATTTCACCACTGATATAGATGTCACTATCAGTGATTGCTTATAACAGCTTTTAAAGCATAGTTTTTCTCTGTGCTTTAAGGTCTGAATGTTTTCTCAAAGAAAATTAATCAGTGTGCTCCCTATCTGAATGAAAAGCCATTGTGAAAAATTTAGCCCAATAATATATTAGTAATGAATGTTATTATTTTTTAAGCAATACTGCATGCTCCCTCATTGGGTATTTTAAGACAAAAACAGTTTTTTAAATTACCAATTCTAATCCAATTTGTCTTTGGAATATCCAGTTATAAGAACTAAAATGAATAAATATATAATAAGTAAATAAGTAAACAAACAAACAAACAAACATATAAATAAGAATATATGTAGGTTACTGTTGAAACTTGGTGTTCAAAGAAATCAGCCATCAGTCCACGTTTACATACCATTCATAAGAGATAGTAAACAGCTAAGAAGACCACAGCATATTCATTCAGCAGCCAACACCCAGATTAAAAGGATTAATACCAGACAAGAAATTAAGCAATTAAGCAATAGAGAACACCTAACTCCATCAATACTGGCAGGGCAAGTATTATGCTGTACATATATAGGGAGCAAGCCCCAAGCACACTTAACACTGAAGATGTTACCTAGTCAGGTAATGAAATTTCTGCAAGGAAACAACAAAGCTCTTAGAACAGCTAAGATGCTACAAATAAATAAATACTTTTTCTGTTGCTAAGTGCTTCTTTCTTTGTAGAAAAAGCAAACATGATACTTTTTACACAAGATACTAGTCATAAAGTAAGTAAGTAAGTTTTAAGTGCCATTGTGATACACATAATATAGACATTTTCCACTCCATTATAGAATTAGATATTCTTTCATTTCTGCTGGCATTAGAAAGAGCTGTATTTTACTGCTGGATGACACACACAAAACATTCTGCATACTATATATATACACTACTCTAGAAATGCCAGTGGACAGATGGATGGACTAATGTTTTAATTTACTTTTCCTTTTTAGAAATGTGTTATTGAATATCTCAGATGGAAAATTATCAGAACATGAAATTATGACTATTGGGCGATATTACAGTGTAAGAGAGGAGAATGAAATGGATGCCACTTATCTTCTGGCAGTGTCTCAGGAAAATCTCAAGAAAAATAACTTTGAAAATTTTGGCCAGCTGTTGGCAGCCTTGGCATACAGTGATCGGGAAAAGTAAGGCCTTCTTCTAATATCAAATCTGCATGGTTTAATTCTTATTAACCCCAATCTAATAAAATAGGAGCTGTCTTTCCCCTCATGTCAAGTCAATGTGTGTGGTGGAAAGTTTAAGCCTTCTACTCTATATCTCAGATGATTGACACTGGAAATAGCTTTTCTCCATGTCAGCCTTCCTGTCATGGCAGAAGTGAACAGAAATTACTCTCACTCCTGCCTTCCTTCCCATTTAAATCGGGTATCATGCATTACAAACAACTAATAGGAAACTCTCAGAAGCACAATGACAATGGAATAATCAATCTGCCTTCATAATCATACTTCATCACTCAGCCTAAGTAATTAGAGAAAACAATTGTCAATGGCTTCCCTTTGGGCATATAAGACTCATATATGCATAATATAAGACCTTCATGAACTGTAAGCGATTTGGATTTATTTGAATATTCTGATTTCGATAACTGAAGGGCTTTTTTTATTTTATATTGAACCAAAGCAAAAGTTGAAATTTGATTCCAGATATCTTTAATATGCTAAAAAGGCGTGGAACAGTAGTTACAGCTTTCTTATCTTTTTAATATGCTTCAAAATGTTTGTTTTTCTAAATATCCTACAGAATGAATATGGTCTGGATCTTAATACTGTTAACAAATCATATACCAAAACAGTTCAATCAATATAAACCTATAGATTTGAAAGAGAAGATAAATATAAATCTGTTGGTGTAGTTACATGGGTGTTAGTGTCTTAGAGCAGCAGCCCCAACCTTTTGAGCACACAGGACCAGTTCTGTTGGGAGAGGTTTTTCCATGGACTACAGAGGTTTCACCTGCTGCCTACATCCCGTGGATGGGGCTTCATTTGTTTGCCTGGACCAGTTTCTGTCATGCTGCCGACTGGGGCCAGTTTACGACCGGGGGTTGAAGGCCCTTGTCTTAGAGGCAAAATTCTTTAGCAAGGAGGAAGGATGAGGAAGGTGGCTGCTCAGCTATGAACTGAAGGTACCCCCCCCCCAACAAATACATCACAGAAGTGATAATGTATTGTTCGTTAATGCCTGAATTGGGGATGGGAAGATGGAAGGAAGATGGAAGCCACCCTGAATCTTCAGAGAAAGGCGGCATATAAATTGAACTAATAAATAAACTTTGGCAGGAGGTTGTTGGTGGGGGAGCCAAGTGATTGCTTGGTGAAAAGAGTGCAAATGTTCAGGAACATCAATTTTCTCTAGGGCTCAAAACCTTTAAAGACAGAGGATCAAAAGAAATAGCTGGCACATTTGAACCAGTTTTCCTTTTCATTTCCCATCCTTTTTACATTCCTTTATAGCACAATTCTAAACATTCTTTTAAACCATCCATCATGATTGTTCTTAATTCCAAATTTTAAAAAATTAGAAAGTTACTACTTTTGTTTGCGCAGATGCGGACTGCTGGCCAGTGACAAGTGCAGGACTGTTTGCAAATCCTTCAGGCTACCATTAGCAGATGATCTTCTACGTGCTTTATTGGCTGCGTAAGTCATAATTCCAGTGTAATAATTAGTATGAATAAGAGTTAAATAATTTTTTTTTCTTCTGAGAGCCACATTCCTTTTCTGATAATGTATCAGAGGCTATTTCAGGACCATCTCTTTTCTTCCTATCCCTTCTTCCTCTCTCTGTTGCTGTTGGGATCAGGACACAGGGCTAAACTACTTGATTGGAGAAGGTTTTTTTTTAACACAAAAAAAGGCCAAGAACCACATAACATTCCATTGATCTTAATATAAATGCTTCAGGCAACATATCTGAGATGTGATGCTGAAGTAATTCCATTGTAAACTAGTAATCATTATTTGGAAGTAATTTCAATGAGAGATGGACTTTAAAAAGAGGAATGACTGTCTGTTTTAGCAAGCCATAGGTTTCCTAGGGTACTTGCTCCTGTCTTCCAGTTATGAGAATCCTACCTTGTCTTAATCTATTCAGCAGGATACATCTAAACCTTCTTGTCAAAGATGCTTTGACAAGCACCACTCTAAGGAAAAAAAATGTAAAAATAGCAGGAATGGAAATATCTGTTTACCTTGAAGAGATTTTAGCAAGGAACTTGATTTTCTTGCTAAAATAAATATCCAAATGTTCAGCCTCTAAACAACAATAGATGATTATGTGGAAAAATGGAGAAAAAGAAATAATAAGGGAAAGCAGCAGTCCACACAAACAATATATTAATTGTTCGAGAAGGGTTTCCAAACATACACATAAAAGCTGGTCCAGTGATTTTCAGGAACTTATATTTATGTTTTATAGAAACTAGCAAGGCAAAATGTATAAGACAAAATGGTCTTATATCTCCTTCAGTCCCAGATCTGTGGGAGAGTCCTTTGTATACTTGCAGGGTTCAGTTCAGTTTTTTTAAAATCAGAGCTTGATAGGGAAGATGAAGAATCTGCTATATGTCTAGAAAAGTTTTCAAGTGATGCAAATTTCTTTCCAAATCTGAGAGATAGTCACAGCCAGTTTATGAATTAGTAGTAAAATATACAAAACCCTTTTTTCCTTAAGTGGGAATGGAATTACATGTCATCCCTTTAATTAAAATCCCTTTTAACACTGAGAAAAATTATTAAACCTATTCAGCTTGGATGAATGGCAATCTGCAAGTAATTCTGCCCTTCTTATTGTTTATATTCTAATGTTGTTTCTCCCCAGGGATTCTTTTCCATATTCATGCTATTTTCATTTTGACTACAGCCTTGTTATATCTCTGCTTAATATTTTTATTATTCAGATGAGTCATGTGTGTACATTGCACTTCAATATGTTAGCAATGTTGAAACAAATGAGAATATTGTTTAGAAAATGTGCTGTTAACACAGCTGCTTCAGAAGAAAATACACAATGTAGAAACAGCTTGAATGAAAAAGTCGCCTCATTATTGAACTTGGACTATTTAGGCTGAAGTTAGTCAGTGCAACTATTAAAGCTATATATCTGTCACTGCCTATTATTTTGAGCATACTACTTGCAAAAGTGCAGCGGGGGATATTCAACTCTTCAAGGCAACCCAGTTTGGGTTACAATACCCAATTTGGGTATTATTCATTCAGAACACCAGAGGGTTATGATGCATGAGATAACTGTAGGCTTGTTACATTTCAGAACCCTCCCCTCTACACTGTGTGTACAATTATTAGGCAACTGAATATTTTGACCATATCATTTTTATGCATATTTTCCATCTTCAAGCTGTATAAACTTGAATGCTTAGTGGATATAAGCATATCAGGTGATGTGTAATGAGGGAGGGTATGGCCTAAGGAGATCAACACCCTATATCAAAGTGTGCATATTTATTAGGCAGCTTTTTTTCCTCAGGGCAAAATGTGCCAAAAAAGAGATGTAACTGATTCTGAAAAGTCAAAAATTGTAAAAAGTATTTCAGAGGGATGCAGCACTCTTGAAATTGCTAAGATATTCGGGCGTGATCACAGGCCCATCAAACTTTATTGCAAATAGTCAACAGGGTCACAAAAGAAACGTGTTGAAAAAAAATGATGCACATTAACCACCAAAGATTTGAGAATAATCAAATTTAAAGTTACCAGGAACCCTTTATCCTCCAGTGCTGTCATATTCCAGAATTGCAACCTACCTGAAGTGCAGGGGTGAAATCCAGCAGATTCTGACAGATTCTGGAGAATCGGTAGCGGAAATTTTGAGCAGTTTGGAAAATTGGTAACGGAAATTTTAAGTAGTTCGGAGAACCCGCCAATACCACCTCTGGCTGGCCCCAGAGTGGGTTGGAAATGGAGATTTTGCAATATCCTTTCTCCAGGAGTGGGGAGGGAATGAGGATTTTGCAGTATTCTTCCTCTGGAGTGGGGTGGGAATGGAGATTTTGCAGTATCCTTCCCCTGACATGCCCACCAAGCCACACCCACCAAGCCACACCACACCTACCAAGCCATGCCCACAGAACCGGTAGTAAAAAAAATTTGGATTTCACCACAGCTGGAGTGCCCAGAATACAAGGTGTTCAATGCTCAGAGACATGGCCAAGGTAAGGAAGGCTGAAATCCAACCACCCCCGAATAAAACACATAAGTTGAAAGGGCAAGACTGAGCTAAGAAATATCTGAAGACAGATTTTTCAAAGGTTTTATGGACTGATGAGATGAGAGTGACTCTTGACGGACTAGATGGATGGGCCCGTGGCTGGATCAGTAATGGGCATAGAGCTCCACTTTGACTCAAGACACCAGCAAGGTGGAGAAGGGGTGCTGGTATGGGCTGGTATTATGAAAGATGAAGTAGTTGGACCTTTTCGGGTTGAAGATGGACTCAAAATCAACTCCCAAACCTACTGCCAGTTTTTAGAAGGCAGTTCTTCAAGCAGTGATACAGAAAATGTCTGCATCTTTCAAGAAGGCCATGATTTTTATGCAGGACACTGCTCAGTCGTTCACATGCATCGAAGTACTCCACTGTGTGGCTAGCCACTAAAGGCCTTAAAGATGAAAGAATAATGTTATGCCCCCCCTTCCGCATCTGACCTAAACCCTATTGAGAACTTGTGGGCCCTTCTTAAACGGGAGATTTATGGTGAAGAAAAACAGTACATTTCTCTGAACAGTGTCTGGGAGGCTGTGGTTGCTGCTGCACAAAAAGTTGATCGTCAACAGATCAAGAAATTGACAGACTCCATGAATGGAAGGCTTATGACTGTTATTGAAAAGAAGGCTATATTGGTCACTGATTTTTTTTTTTAAATGTCATAAATGTTTATTTGTACATTTTGAGTTGTTTGTTTATTATTCTTACTTTATCAAATGCAAATAAACGAATGAGATGGGCAAATTTTCATTCTTCATAATAATTTTGCATACTAATAGTTGCCCAAATACTGTGCACACATAGATATTCTCCTAAGAAAGCCAAAACCTCACTTTTACTTTCTTAAATATTCAGGTTTGAGGTTTATTAATATTTTGGATTGACCGAGAACACTGTAGTTGTTCAATAATAACATTAACCCTCCAAAATACAACTTGCCTAACTATTGTGCACACAGTGTAGAACCATGGATGATAGAACATTTAGTTTAACCCAAGAGAATGTTTTCTTATGCAAGATGGAGAAAATATTAGTAAAATAGCTATAATAGTCTTTTAACTATCTCTTAGTATAGTAGAGTGGTTAAAGGATTATCAAAGTGGCTAAGTGTTAGAATTGTGAGGGAGTCCTACTATATGTAAAACCATGTTGGGAAATTGCAGCTTTATTTCTAAAGTAACTGTCAAATCATAGCATCATCAGGAATTATGTTAGAAATCATAAGAATTCAAATCTGAGACCATACATTTTTTGTAGAAGAAGAAGACTAAACCATAACTGGATTTGAGATTCTCCTCTAAAGATTAATTTTAGCCAATACTTTAATTGGAAAGACTTTATAGGAGCTCCACAGAGGAAAAGCTAGGGAATTTATGTGCAGAAGTATAGTTAATATTCATCAGGGGAGTTCTTATGAATTATACTGTAGTTACTCCCAGTCCTTATTTTCGTTCCAAACATAGGATTCTGTTCTGTGAAAGACAAGACTCAATATCTCAGCTCTGAATATAGGATGACACTTTGAATATAAAGTTTTATTGAGGGTTTTTATTTATTTATTGAGTTTTATTTCTTCATAGGAAATAATCTTTATCTGAAATGCCTAATGAGTACTAAAATGCTAGTGAAAAAATTGGTTTCTTCATAAAATAAAATAATTTCAGGGACTTCACCATAGTGGCAAATGGATAATTTTTGCAACTTGCTGCATATTCATCATTTATAACACCTGGTCATGAGCATTAAAAAGAGGAAAGTAAACCACTTTAGACTCCCTACTGAATGGTTAGAAAGTTAGAATAGCTAAAATCCCAGAATGAAAAATTATCTCTGTTCTCTAAACCAGTAGTCAAAGAATTGTATCCAAAGAGAATTATGATAAATGTATTGAATATTTAATATGAGTGCTTTGTATAGAAAATATAGAGGAATACAACATAACTTTTGATCTCTCTCTCTCTCTCTGCATATATATGTGTGTGTATATATAAAATCTATCCATCCATCATCTATCTTTCCTTCCTTCCTTCCTTCTTCCTTCCTTTTCCTTCCTTCCTTCCTTCCTTCCTTCCTTCCTTCCTTCCTTCCTTTCTTTCTTTTTCTTTCTTTTTCTTTTTCTCCTGAACGAATTCCACAATATGTCAATTTTACAATTACAATTACAAAACACATGTTTAATTTGTTATATAAAAGCTAAACTTTCTCTGAATTAAGTCTTATACATGTGTTCATCTAAAAATAATTACAAATTTCATATTGTGAAATATAAAATGGGCCACAGGAATGTATTACATCTGAAACAAAACCGATAATTCAATTGCCATGGTTATTTGATAGCAATTAAGGAAGAGGGCCTACAGTGTTTCCCACAATCTTATAGTATACAGTATTTATTGGAATATTTTTTAAAAAATTTGATCCAACAACTTGAAAATTGGAGTATGTTCCCAGTTATTTCCTGAATTATACAATAGCACTTTTACAGCAGTGGAATGAATATGTATTGTTTGTTCAGATGTTGAGTGTAAAAAAAGTTTTTTTAACAGAGAAAGTCTATCTCTGCGTGCCGCAGTTGTTGTTTTTATCTAACACTGTAACAACATTTATTTCTTTAGCTTTAGGCTTCTTACTCTTACTTTTTCTCCTTTTTTTTCTGAGCCAAACAAATACTGCAAATGCAAAAAGCTAAAAACCTATTAATAAAATTGCAGATTGTTAATATAATGTAGCAATCCAATATTTCTCTAAAGGATGATTGCCCTAGTCTTTACTGAAAGAATACATGTTATTTCAAGGCACACATGTAAAACTGTTTAATACCAGTTGATTTTTATTTAGTGTATTTGTTATTTAAACAAAGGTTTGGGAATTATTGTCATTTCAGATTTAATCTTTTAAAATATGACCATTTATTGGCTCAGTATTTCTGTGTGATAAGTAATTGTTTTTCACAAATGGGAAGAATAAATGTAATGACATAAAACATGTTCATGGCAGTTGACCAGATTTCCCATCAGCAAACAAAATCAGGAATATTTCTTGAGTCAATCTAATTTAGTTCAAAGGCCACTACCATAATTTATTTCATTTTGATTTTGTTGCCTTTTCATTATCTATTCTTGTAATACATAACCAATACTTCAGTCTTTCTTAAGTAAAAGGAGAATTCTACCATAAAAATAAATTTCGGTCCACTCCTTGTGGTCGAATGACTCAAAAAAAACACTCCATGAATGTGCACCTGCAAAGTAAACTCTGCCACAAACGAGGGGCCTTTAAGCATTTCCAGAGCATACTCTGACTCTTGGAATTTAGTTTCTGAATTCTAAAAAAGCCTCTTAAGTATCAGTTGCTTCACTGACAGACCAGTCTTCTCTTGTGACAGCTGAGCTCTGAGAGCTAGGGGCCTATGCCAACATGGTGCTTTGCCAGTTAAATCAGGAATAAGAAATCATCAAGAAATAATAAAAGAAAAACAAGAGGGCTCTGTAAGCAAGCCTGTCTTAAAATAGGGAGTTGCTTTCACACTTTCTGTACATAAATAATGAAAATTTGTTTGCTTAAAAGACATGAGTGAACACAAGATAAAACCAAGGGTCTCTTTTTTTTCTCCTTACATTTCTTCTTTTTCATGAGTTTCAGCTATACTCCAAAGATACTTTTATTGTTCATTATGTCAAAATAAACAGGTTAAACCAAATGATAGAAGGAGAGCCAAATAATGAAAATATGCACACAATCTTTATTTAGATGTGAAGATTGCAAAGAACATGTAAATTATAAGAAGTTGGTTGATAGGCTGAACTGGAGAGAGCACCCAATTCCAGCTTTCCAAACCATCCTGACGCCATTACAGGTAAAGTAAATTTTGTATCCATAAGTTTCCAAAAATATAAATCATAACAGTTCAGGTTCTTAAACAAGAATACAGAGTGGTTTGTGTTTACTGCCAAAACATTACTACTATTTATAAGGAATTTCAGTTTTAATTTTACACTAGACAATTTGTAACTGTTTGGGTCATCATTTGAGAGATATTTCCTTACCAGATTCCCCAATGCCTTTAAAAATGGCAGTGTTTATAATGTATTTGAAAGATTCTTAAAATTTCAAGGAGATATTCAGAGATATATGTGCCTGGAAAGTAGCCTATGTTGAACTGTATAGCACTGTCAGACATTAGGAGTTGATCTTAGGAAACATTTTATGACATTTTGTATTGTGTCACAAAATGCTTTATAATAATTTTTATTTCATAAAATGTTTTATAAAATTGGTAAAATTTCAGTTTCGCTGGTTGTCATAGGTCTGTATGTCATCAGCTCTGTACATCACCTCATTTGGGTATCCTGGTTGAAAATGTTTTCTCTACGATGTACCATTTCACCTAATTAAAGTTTATAGGCATGAGAGTTTTAGTAGCATATAGAATTGAAAACTTAATTATGTTTGCTTCAACTTTCTCTCTATGGTGGATGTTAATTAGTTCTACACTTGGTATTAATGTTTATGGCCTCTACCTGTATACCTAGTTAATTTATACTTTCATAGGCCCTCCATTTTACAGGTAATAATCCTATATAATGAGGATCATGTCCACATGAAGTAGCTTCTGCCCAGCAACGGAGAGGGAGAAGGGGCGGTGTTTCTGTGTGCTCCCATTTCTGTGTGGCACTCCTCCCCTCAATGCTAGCGGCCATCACTGCCCCCTTCTCCCTCTCCGTCTCTGCTGCTGGGCGATCCCGTGCGAAGAAGGGGGCTAGCAGAGAGGGGAGATTGCAAGGTTGCTGCTTCTGGGATGAGGGGACCCGGGAAACGTCTGGGTCCAGCTTACCCAGTTTCTCCTCCTCTCGCAGCCATCTTTCCCAGTCTAGCTTGACACTCTCTCTCTCTCTCTCTCTCTCTCTCTCTCTCTCTCTCTCTCTCTCTCTCTCTCTCTCTCTCTCACTCTCTCTCTCTCACACACACACACACACACACACACACACACACACACACAAGCATACACACACAAACAGGTTGGATCTTTTTTTCCTCCCCCCCCACACCGGAGACTCCTGGATTCCCTCCTCAATCCTGCCTGTCCCACACAAATGATGTAGAGTTGGCCACGCCCACTCAGTCCTATGACTCCACCCAGCCTACCCAGCCAGTCATTAGAGCAGATAACTGGTTGTTAAAAAATATGGAGCCCACCACTGAGTAGCTTCTCTATCCATATCTATCTATCTATTATCTATCTATCTATCTATCTATCTATCTATCTATCTATCTATCTATTTATTTATTGAATTTATATTCCGCCCTTCTCCCCGAAGAGACTCAGGGCGGTGAACAGCCGAAAATTAAAATAACATACAATATAAAAGTTAAGATAACTAAAAATAAATTAAATTAATCAGCCTCCCAATTTAAAACCCCAAGCTATACAATTAAAAACTAACCCATAAAATCTATTCAGGCCAGGCCAGCTTGCTGAAATAAAAATGTCTTCAGGGCCTTACGGAAAGTGTGGAGATCAGTCATATTCTGGGAGGTAGCTCGTTCCAGAGGGCGGGTGCTCCCACAGAGAAGGCTCTCCCCCTGGGGGCCGCCAGCCGACATTGCTTGACCAACGGCACCCTGTGCTGATTTTAAGTTGCTAGGAGGTTTAATCAGTGTATGAACCAGGCAGGATTAATTTAAGTTGATTAAGAAAACATACGTTAGGTTGATGAAGAGGGTACCCATCTTTGGGACAAAGATTGCTTTGTCCCAAACTCTATGTTGTAATTGAAATGGTTTAATTTTGGATGTGCAGCTCTATCTATGACGACTTCTCTCTGTTCAAACCAGGTCATTAGAGTACAAAGCATAGCTTAAAAAATGTTAAATATTAAGTGAGAATGCAGCCTAGAGTGCCTACCAGATACTTATTTAAAATTTCTTATATCTGCTACCATAATATCCTGTGGCATATTTAATATCCTTCAGATATTAAAAATCAGCTTCTACTTGATGAGATATTAATGAGATATTAATTAAATCAGATTTAAGGAGAAATGAAATGGCCTAGATTAACAAAAGATATGAAACCGATAACTGCAGATTAGGAATCTCTAATTTTTATAACGTTAATAAATTTTTAATCTCATATTCAGTTTATACATTTATTTCTTTTTAAAATCAGTATGAATATCAATATATATATACTTGCATGTAAAATGTAATGTACATTTTTGTACATAAGCATTCTCCCACTAATTTTTACTTTCTCATAATGTTGCCTGTTTTTTCATTAAAGAATTATATTCCAAAATTTGAAAAAGTATGAAACAGTGCTAATTAATGTTTTATTAGTAACATTTTTTCTCTTATAAAAAATACTTGGAAAGTTTAAATTAGGTTGATTCATATTGAAATACAAGCCAAGTATTTTCTTTTTTCATCCATTGTATGGATCACAGTAAGAATCACTTCTCTCATTCCATGAAAGATAGTCTCCTTCAAGTCAAATTAGATTCCTATTGACTACATTTTTTGGCCGATAAGATGAGGTAGCTTGCCATTGCTTCCCTCTACCATTTTTTTTTTTTTTTTGTGTTTCCTACTCTAGTTTATAGCTCTGGGCTTTCATTATAATTGTTTATTCAAAAACCAGCCTGTCCTGTCCTTTTAGTTATTTGATTAAGTAAGGTTGGGTAGGTACTGCTACCTGTTGTACTTGATTTATGAAGTTTAGGGAGGGAAAAAATAAGATTACAAGAAGGCAAAATTTATATTTAATGGGGGTACTAAAAACAGTAAAGCATGATAACCTGATCTCAAGACTTTTTGAAATTTAGTTCCTACAATTCTGATGCTTCCTTCTATCAGTTTCTCAGAATTTAGCCTATAGTGAGTGACCAGGCAGTTCATTTCAATAAAAGCTAGAGACTTCACATTTATAGAAGTGGGACATCCTATTTAATAACATTTTCTATGAGCTGTTCAGTATGCAGCAGCAGCTGATTGTCTGTCTTAAAGATGTACATTCTCAGACTTTTGAAGTTCTCCCTAATCATATCTATTACTGGTAGTCAGTCAGTCAAGTCCGTCTGTCTATCTGTCTCTTGACAGTAGAAATATAGAGCAATTGGGCAGAGATTCCCTTGAATATTTTCAAACAACTTTTTAAGTCTCATTCCATCTTTGCAAGCTCCAAGAAAACATGAAAGGTTAATCATAAAATGAGTTGAAGAATAAACATGTTGTCATTTAAAATAATTTTGGATAACGTGGGTAGCATACATTTAAAGTGTAGAAATCTCTATTCATTTGCCCCTTAATATTTCATTTTATTTAATTATCACATTTAGAAACTGCACAGAGGAACTATGTAAGGAGGAAATAAAAATCATACTGTTTCCAAATTAAACATTGTCTCACCCAATTATTTAATAATTTATATTCTACTTTAAAATGGAACATACATAATAACGTGCCTTCCTTACCAATATTTCTAAAGGGAATTCTATCGGACTGTCTTCAGTTCTCATTTTAATTTTTCTTGGATGGAGATCAGTCTCTCTCCAGAAGGATATTAGATTGAGGAATCCTATTGGCAGTCAGTTTGTCTAACAGAGCATTTTCCCCTCCCCCCAATTATTAAGATTGGCCAGCACTGTCCCTTCCCTGGGCAGGCCAAAGAAATATACAGATAGTCATGATGTCAGGGAATTGCGCAGCTAGTGTCCAAATGAGACGTTGAAATTAACTTACAGTTTTATGTAATTAAATATATTTTACATCTATATTTACATCAAATAAGATAGACACATCACTACATCATGAGGTAAATCATCAGGTTTATCATCAGGTTTACGTCAGAAAAAGGCCGGAAAAAAGGTAAACTCCCCCTCTTCATCTGGAGAGCACTGAAAATTACAATGCAAATATATGGTGTATTGTTTTGATAGAAACAAAGACTGCAATGCTTGTTAGTACTCAACATTATTTTTAGTTACTATCCATTTCACTTTGCAGTTCTAAACCTTCTTACCCTTTGCTTATGCTTTCAGTATGAAGATGGATGGAGTGGGGAGCCACCAGCACTTCCAGTGAAAAAAATAAAATACCTACCATTAATAGAAGATGTCTTTGGCAGCAAAGATTAGCCTTAGTCCATACATTATACTTCTTATGGATAAACATTGCAACTTTCTCTTTCTGGACAGTTACTGCATATTTTTATTTAAACAAAATAAAAGAATCACAGCTATAGATTTTTTGGGGGGGATTAAGTTTTATTTTTTATTTTATTGTAGAAATATAATTCATATACTTTGTAATTCTTTGAAATGCTTATACCATATATTCAGTATAATAATTTAAATGTGTTTTTATTTTCAGTTCTTACATATGGAATGGATGCTATATAATTTAGAATTTTGCTCCTTTCCACTTGAACAATCAAGCTGTTACCCTTTGTTTTTTCAAGAAAGTCCTTACAAATTTTGGGATTAAAGCCTGGCCCTTTGAGAGTTGCATAGAAGAGAAAAATTGACCAGAATCTCCCAGCCTAGCATTTTAAATGTTGTTAATAAGTAATTACAATTCAACTTCCACATGAAAAGGAACAGGAATGTATATTTGCATGTCAAAGCATGTCAATAATAGTTAAAATGACTCCAGATTACCGCCAGGCTTGTTCTATGATTATAATAAGATAATATCTTTTTCAAAATTCCCAATTGATCGTTAAAAACAACCAAAAGAAAATGCAAGAAATACCAAGAATAAAAATCTATTGATAGAAGGTCACAGGGATGTGCTTTATGCAGATACGGATTGCTCATGGAGTAAGTTTAATAAAATGTAAAACATGTTTTGTTCTCAGCTGTCTCATGACAAAAGTAACTATCATTCTTCATCCTATTTTGTTAATATAGCCTTATGCCTCTCTTAAATATAGGTGTGTGTATGTATTTATATGAGAAATATAGATAATAGATATGGGTATAGAGATAGAACTAGAGATGGATGTGTTTAATAGTGCAGGCAGTCCTCTTACAAGTGTGGTACAGTTCTATTTAGCCAGATTTTGTTTGTGGGACAGATTTTGTTTTGATATTCTTAAATACTATCTCAGGAAAAACATTTACATGAGTGATATAATTAATAACAAATTTATTAAAGTACCTGGAACTTTCCTATCTTTGTTATAGCACAGTAGTCTGGTAATAGTGAAATATTCATAATCCTTTCCCCCATTTCTTTCTAGCGTATTTTGGAATACCAAATATTTCTCCTTTGTTGGAAAAGAATTTGAATAGATTTATTAATGACTAAAATAAATTTGTAATAAAATCATACATTCCTTTAACTGTTGTCTTAACATTTCTCCACTTTCTCACAGGAATGAATGTCTTTTCCTTAAATATGGACAACAGCAATCTGAACAAAAAGTCTTTAATACAAGATATTTTCTTTTTGTTTGGAAAAAGGAAAGTGATTTGTGAAATAACTGAAAAGAGATTTTTTTAAAAAAATACATCACAATTCAGAAACATCAATACATTTTTTAATAGTTCATGGTTTTATTGCTCCAAACAGGAATGTGCCAAGAAATTCTCATATAAAAATATTTATAATATCCCTAGACTTAACAGAAAAGAGTTGGAAGGGACCTTGGAGGTCTCCAAGTCCAACCCCCTGCTCCAGCAGGAGACCCTATACCATTCTGAACAAATGGCTGTCCAATCTTTTCTTTAAAACCTCCAGTGATGGAGCACCTACAACTTCTGAAGGCAAGCTATTCCACTGATCAATTGTTCTAATGGTCATGACATTTCTCCTTAGTTCTAGGTTGGTTCTCTCCTTAATTAGTTTCCATCCATTGCTTCTTGTCCTGCCTTCTGGTGATTTGGAAAATAGGTTGACCCTTTCTTCTTTATGGCAAATGGGACATCCTTTCAAGTTTTCACCTGTTGGATGTGTGATTTAAAGTATAAAGTTGAAATACATTTTTATTTAATTTTGTTCCAGTTCAAACTCTTCAGGTTTTTATATTATGAGAACAGTATATGTATTCCCAGGAAATTATACAAATAGATCTGAATCAGGGGCGGGTTTCAAAACTCGTCGCTACTGGTTTGCTCGTGAGTGCGTGGGCGCTTGCGTGCGCACACAATGCTTCTGCGCATGCGCAGAAGCATCCAGACGGGTGGGCAGAGCCTCCTGCCGCCACCACTAGCAACCCACTACTGATCTGAATGCTTTAAATACCAGCAAACGTTTTAAGTCTTCTAACTTACTTTTCAAACCTTTTGAGAGGACCCAGCCTGAAAATAGTGAAGTGAATGCATTGACTTGGATGAGATTTCCCTTCATGTATGTGAATAACATCACTAACCAACTCCTGGTCCACTTAACAATGAGTAATGTATCTTATGATATCAGAAATACAAAAAAAAGAGTATGATTAAAAGTTAGTCAACATTTCCAGTCAACAATGAATAATGATTCCTACTGTTAAAATTGGCAGGTACATGTTTATTGATTCATTCAGCAATATGTGGGTCTGTGCTGTCTTTGGATGTTTGGTGATTCAACAGAGCAAAGGATATGCAGACTGCTGAGTGGGGGTGTAACTCCTGACCAACATTTTTATTACATGGGGATCGTAATTATTTGTTTATTACAAACGTGTGTATGTTGTCTGATTCACTAGAGTCTGCGGCAATCCTATATTGGGCAAGAATGGAACATTAGAATGTAGGTGGGGGGGGGATGCTGCTTCATCAGGCCAACAGCCCATCTGGTCCAGCATTCTGCGTCACACAGTGAACAACTAGATGCACTCAGGGAACCACAATACAGATAAAAAGATACTAGTCTTCTTTCATCATTGATGATCCTTAGATGATGCTGTAAATGAGTGTAGAGTGTAGTAAAGAGTAATCAAAATTCATAGCAATTGATAGTATAATCCTCCATGATTTGATTTGATAAATTCATATAGCTACCCAGATTGTTGGGAGCAATATGCTGACTCTGTAAACTGCTTAGAATCTAAACGGCTATAAAATCACTATGAAGTGGTATATAAGTCTAAGAGCTAGTACCCATCTCATGAAACATAAGTCTAGGCAGCATACAACATATGCACAGTTAAAATCATGATTTGAACGACATAAAGGATAAAAAACAAAGAAAGTGAGACAACGCAATCATTCAGCATCACATAACTATCTTGCTGGCTCACCATGGCTGATGACCCCCAAATGAAATCTTAAAAGCCTTCCAGAAAGTAGATGGTGGGTCCAACTTTACCACAGGGAGAATGATGTTGCAGAAAATGGATGGGGGGGGGGGGGGGGGGGGCCCACCACCGAAAAAAAAAGCCATCTGGGTCCTTCATATACACTAGTAGACAGGACCTGCAGCATAATCCTCATAAACAAGCTATTAAAAGTATTTCAGTTGGCCAAAGTACATTAAAACAGGAGGGATAAAAATCTAATAGTATTAATATCCAATCTTTTTTTATTACATGAATTATTTTATTACATTTATATACTACTGCAATTAAAAAAGTTGTCCAAGTTTGAATGAATGGGCCCTAACTCTAATATCATAGAGAAGAAAAGATTCTCCATATTTTCCATACTGGCTGTAACTATATACTGTATATTCTTTCATAAATTACTTTAACTTTTTCTGTTCCAAGCTGACAATCACTATTGTACTCTTTAAGCATTTCTACAATCCATTGTTTCTGCTCCACAAATCCTTGAATAAGGGGTTCGAAACCAGCTTGTAGTCGACCTCATTTCTGCAGATTTGAAATTGCAGGGAACATGATAAACAATCGGCTTTCTATCACTAGGAGAGCACAAAATGCTTAATTTGAACATCTTGTTCCCCCCACTCCCCTCCCTTCCCCTCCAAATTTTACAATAGATTTTTGAGCAAAAAAAAAAAATATTTTAAACCCAATCAATATTAAAGGGAGCAAAATAAACTGGAAGCATCGCCATCAACATTTCAAACCTGACATTCAGTATATGTCCAAACATGTACTACAAGGAAAAATGTCCTGGTTGCAAAGATGTTATTACTTTGTTGCCTTTAAAAGTGTGTTACAAACTATGAAGATGGAATGATGGCATATTAGTATAAAACTTGGTACTTTTCCCAACCATGGATACATATTGCTATGCTGGTGAGTGGACAAGACATATTGTAAATTCAGATGAGCAATCCAGTATCATATTTATCAACTCCACCTTCTTGCGATCTGTAATGATTATTTTTCAAGGATAGGAATGGAAGCCAAAGGTCTCTTCAAGTTCTTTTGGCCAGAAGGCCCAAGGCATAGTGAAATAGGCACATTTTATAAAATTCAAGGGGTGAGAATAGAATAAGAACTTGCACTTCCAATCTTAAATTCCCTTCCTGCCAAAATGGACTGCAAATGTTCAGCCCTACCACTTTCCATGACATCATCACATTCTTAGATGACCTCCCATTTTGGGCTTGGGAGGTGGAATAGCAGCCCACTCAAATACCATCACTGTCCTATGACAACTGGAAGGTATCAAGAATATAAACACGCTAGCATTGTGAAATTTGATAGATCTGGAGCCTCGTTCTGAATCGAGGGACCTTTCTTTGTGTGGGAGCCGTGTTAAGCTTTTAATCATTTTGGCCCCTTTGGAGCTCCCTTTCAACCTGACATTCTTTTTAAGATATGATGACCAGAATTGTACATCACTCTCCAGATGCAATTTAACATAGGTTTACATATGAACATTGCTAAACTGATTCCTTGATTTTAAATTCCCCTTCTAATACTGTAATTCCAAGAATGAAATGCGTTGTTTTTGTTATACAGTAATCACATATCATGTCAACATTTTTATTTTGCTGTCCACTATATGACCAAAACCCCTTCTCAGTCAGTGCTAGCTGGAATCTCATTAGTATATATAATATATTTTGCACATCTATGAATTACTTTGGTCTTACACTGAACTGCACATTTTAATGCTCATTTACTCAGTTTAGCTAGGGATCATTTCAGAACATATAATTACTTCTGATTTGCCATCCTGAGCAGTTTAGTGATAAGGAAACTTGATAACCTAACTACTCATTTCAAACTCCAAATCATTTTTAAAACTCCCATTATTGACCCTTGATAGATCTACTTTGAACAACTGTCAAATTTTCCATTTAGTTCTACATTTTTGGCTACAGTTACCAGTGCATGAGTGCAATATCCCTATTATCCTATGGGAGCTGAGTTTTTTTAGGCCTCTTTAATAAGGTTCTTGTTCAAGGCTTTTTGAAAGTCTAGTATATAGCATCTATTATGGGACCTCTACCTACATGAAACAGGAAGAAAACTCTGGCACCAAAATATCTTTAATATATGTTGACTTATTTTAATGTTCATAATTCAGAACATGGCAGCAATAGGCACATTTGTCCTTTTGTGTCAGTCAATTTTCTCAGGAGACTTATCATACTAAATATCAGTCTAAAAACAACAGTGGAAAACTAGACAGCTGACTTTGTTAATGAAACTTATATTTGAATGAGGATGGTGTAATATTGATCTAAATAGTATATTAATAAAACCATAATTTTATCTGCCTGCCTGGGATTTTATTTTATGATACCAGGTGCTGTTGGAATGCTGGTGTTAAAGCATCCTTTTTGTTTGATCTTTTAAAAAAAGCATTTTGTTCAGCCTTCTTTCCCTAATCATATGCAGGGAATTAATGCTTGTGTTACAAGCACAAAGCAAAGCAAAGGAAATTGAGGTGATCTTTTCCCTTGGAACTCTGCAAATACTTAGCAATGGCAATAAAATATGCAGGTAATCCGTTGACTGAGGCATAGATTGACAAATGCCCTGATAGGAAAATATTAGTTTAAATTGATTTATTTATTACATGCATCAAGTTATTTTCAACTCTTGGTGAGCACGTTGATAGATCATCATGAATTAGTCTATATATTTCATTAAAGGAAGGGAATCCTGTGTTGAGTGATTTTCTTATTTCTTTTTAATCACATTTTTAGAGTCTCTCAGCTTGACAGAATGAGCACATCTTAAAAGAAAATCCAGTTAAAAAGCATCTAGTAAAATGACCAAACCAGAATAAAAAGAATGGAAATCAAAAAGAACAAAACCTGATTGTGCAAAACACACCCCAAAACAGCACACCATCTCAAGGACTTGGGGAAGAAGCTTGCTTAAAAGAGCAATGTGAATTTATGGGATGGGGATGGGGAGAAAAACTTTCCAGAAGATAGATGCCACTATGAAGAAGGTATGTTCCCTGGGACCCTTTACATGAATTGTTACAAGAA